GGAACTGTCTAAAATTCTTAGATGGCTGTCCTGTGATTTGTGTTTTGGATGTATGTTCGATTCCAAGGGTGAACTGATCCACACATGTAAGGATATGTCAGAACAGGATCAAGTTGATCGTCTTTTCATGACTGCCATGTCTGAACTCCATGATGAACACGTGATTGACAAATGGGTGGAAGTGTTTAGTGGTGATCCATCTCTGAATCATGTGAACATAGTTTCATACCGCTGTAAAGACTATCGGGACACCCATTTTAAAACATCAGACTGGTTTAATGAACTGAAGCAACGTGTTGTTAAGATGTTATTGTTAGAAAATCGCTTTCAATAATTGTGAATGTAACCCTATCATTGTATATCTGTGTAGTCTAGAATTCTATTAATTAAAGTATATGTTGTATAATTATTTATACCTTCATGTTATATATTGCTTGATACACCCGGTTTCAATAATTGAGAATGTAACCCTATCATTGTATATCTGTGTAGTCTAGAATTCTATTAATTAAAGAATATGTTGTATAATTATTTATACCTTCATGTTATATATTGCTTGATACAGCCGGTTTCAATAATTGTGACTGTATCCCTATCATTGTATATCTGTGTAACCTTGAATTCTATTAATTAAAGTATATGTTGTATAATTATTTATACCTTCATGTTATATATTGCTTGATACAGCTGGTTCCATCAGTACATTGTGAGTTCACAAAAGATGAACAGGGTATTGACAGAGAAGCACGAAAAAGCATTAGAAAAGTATTATTATGATCCTCACAATCCAGGAGCCTATTATGGACCATCCAAACTTCGACAGGTATTGAAGACGAAACCTCAACCTGATGTAAAGCTCAGAAAGGTGAAATGGTTTGTCAACAACCAAGATGCTTACAGTTTACACAAGCCAGTCAAGCATAGATTTAAAAGGATGAAAGTCAGAGTGAATTCCATTGACGAAATGTGGGATGTTGACCTTGCCGATCTTTCCCGTTACAGCACAGAAAATCAGGGTATACATTATTTGCTTGTTGTGATTGACATACTGAGTAGATTTACCTTTGTCCTTCCTTTGGAAAATAAGAAGCCAGAGTCCGTGTTGAAAGCCTTTAGAAAAATACTTCAAGAAAGGAAACCAAGAAAGGTACGCGTAGATGGTGGTAGTGAGTTTAAGGGAGTGTTCAAATCTTTTTTGGAAAAACAAAATATTATCATTACTATCGCACGCAACGAAAACATTAAAAGTAATTATGTAGAACGTTTCAACAGAACACTGAAATCGTTGATCACGAGTTACATCACGCGCAAAAACACCAAACATTATCTCAGTGTTCTACCCGATTTAGTGTACAACTACAACCATACTATACATTCGTCTTTACCCCTTTTATCTCCTGCTCAAGTCAATAAAAGCAGTGAATTGGAAGTATGGCAACACTTGTATGTCAAACCTTTGTTGAAACCAAAGAAAGCAAAAAGTTCAGTGATAAAGAAATACAGATATAAAGTAGGTGACCTTGTCCGTATCCCATATCTGAGGAAACCTTTCAGCAAAGAACTTGATCTGAAGTGGACAGAAGAACTCTTTAAAGTAACAGAATGTTTCAAAAAACAAGATATACCTCTGTACAGAATCAAAGATTTCCACGACGAACTTATTAAAGGGAGTTTTTACACTGCTGAACTGCAGAGGGTTAATAAAGAAGAAGATATTGAGTGGCAAGTGGAAAAGATCTTAAAAAAGAAACACATGAGAGGAAAGACATACCTTTTGGTTCGCTGGTTAGGTTGGCCTAGTTCTTTTGATTCATATGTTGAAGAAAACCAACTGAAAAATCTATGATGGAGAAATATGTTTTTCTCAAGAGCTCTGACACACAAAATACTTATTTCAAGGATAACACCCCCTATCATTTTCGCCAAAAGCTTAATCAAAGATTGGTGTTTGATGGATTTTGGGTTGTGTCTTTAACTGAGTTAAACTTTGGAAAGCTAGACCTCACTCATATGAACAATCCTTATGTAGATGTACTGTGTAACCTGTGTGACAGTTCACTGGTGGGTAACACCCAGTTACCTTTGTTAAGACGCATTGACCTGAGGAATGGTCCCAACTTTTCCTGTGCCAATGAATACAATATCCACGTAATGGTCAAAGAGTCACCCGACATTGAAATCTGTATAAAAGCGAGCAATGGAATACCATTGTCATTCTTGAAAGAGGAGACTCATGCAACACTTCACTTGAGACGTTATCCCTTTGCTGATTGAACATGGATCCCCTCCCTCTGTATATCCCTGATTATAGCAAATGGCAGAATTACTTATAAAAACACATGACAGGTACTTCTCGTGTTGTTAACGGAAAAACTGCCCCTAAAGTTATTCCATCTCTCCGACCTGTTGCTCAACCGGGAGAACCCAAAATCGAACTGCAGATGACTTCAGAACCACAAAGCATGGTGGAGAAAGCGAATGCCAAAGAGAAGCGCCATAGATCTTTAAAAAGAGCTGCAGGTGAACAGGTTGTCACAACCAGGAAGATACATCAGACAGGCAACATTCCCTCCAAGACAGCTAAAGTACTCAAGTGTACCCCTGTGAAAGAAAACGACATCTTCAGTTGAACAACATGTCTTTATTGAATAGCAAAGATTTTGAAGAATTGATTCCGAGGTCATTAAACCTATTTACTCTGCCACCATATCAGACCAGCATCCAACAACACTATTTTGTAGATGTACGCCCGCTCAGTCAAATTAATGACTCCTCCCCACTGGAATTTCACATATCTAATTTGGGCAGCGATTACATCGATTTGAAGCGAGATTGCATATGACACTCAAAGCCACTCATTCAAATGGTACAGTATTGGATAATGATGAACACGTGGCACCTGTCAATCTGTTTATGCAGGCGTTGTTTTCTCAAGTTTCAGTGTATGTGCAGAACCAATTGGTGTCTTCGACTAACAATCATTATGCTTATAAGAGGTATGATGAAGACATTGCTTAACTATGGAGCCGATGCCAAAAACTCCCAAATGACATCACAGTTGTTTTACAAAGATGAGGGTGGAAACAATAGTGCCATTGAATCAACCAATTCTGTCACTGGAACCAATTATGGTTTGACTGCACGTGGTAACTTTATCAAGAAAAGCAAAGAACTGACCATGTCTGGTCCTTTGTATGAAGATGTGATTGGTATGAAAAGACATTTATTCAATGGAGTAGATCTGACTTTGAAATTGTACAGATCATCACCTGCTTTCTGTTTGATGAGTGGTAAAGCTAAACAAGAGTATACCATTGAGCTACTGGATGCATATCTCCAAATATGCAAACTCAAAGTCAACCCGGCACTGATCCTAGCTCACAACACCCTATTCCAAAATAACTCCAATGCACTCTATCCTTTCACTAAGTCTGAGGTCAAGGTCAACAGCATCCCCGTTTCTCAACTGAGGCACACCATTGATAATGTGTCCAACCCCATTGCTAATCGCTACATCATTGGCTTTGTGGAAAGCAAGAGTTTGAATGGGACATATGATGGGAATCCTTTCAACTTTCAATCGGGCATGCTCAAAACTGTCAGCCTCTATGTGAATGGTGTCAGTGTACCTGGTCGTCCAACCCGTGCTGATGATGTGAACAGCTATGTGAACATGTTTGATGGAGCGGGACTTTGGAGAGAAAATCAAGGAAACTGTATTTCTAGAGAAGAGTTTTTGTTAGGAAATGCACTGTTTGTCTTCGAGCTGGAAGAGGTGTGTGGAGAATCTGAATACCTCAATCTGGTGAAATCTGGAAATGTGCAGTTGGAAATTGTGTTCAAAACTGCACTACCCCAAACCTTGAGCTGCATCATTCTCAGTGAAAGAAACTCCATCATAGAAATCGATCAGGCTCGAAACGTCTTTATCAAGTAAACACAAAGATGAAAGCTTCGCAGTTGATGTGTGCCCTTCAGTGTGATTCAACCCTACAGAGACATGTCTTGGGGGTGTATGCCAGAGATACGCTTCCTACTATCACACCTTTCATCCAAAGACAAGGTGTAGGACTTATTGTGAATACTGATATCAGACAAAACAGCGGCCGTCACTGGATTGCAATGTACTTTAAACACAATAGAGCCGAAATCTTCGATAGTTTAGGAGATCCTGTTGATGTTACATTTGACCACTATTTAAAGGTTTATGCTGGTTCTTACTTACGTAACAATCACCAGTTACAATCTCTAGATTCAAATGTCTGTGGGTTCTATTGTTTGTACTATGTCTTATGTAAAATTAAAGCACATCAGAGTCTAAACCATATACTTCATCAGTTTGATATACATAACTTCATGTGGAATGACACCTTTGTATCTGAATATATTTGTAATTATTTCAAATACTGTACTCCTTCTTGTCTAGATTGTAATTGATACTATTTATGTATGCACCAGAAGAAAAAGAAAAAAATCAATAAAATTAGTGTAGATGAGATTATGTTTGTGTTGTGTATAAATACCTTTGTATCATGACATTTAGTGTAGTTCTGTGATAAAGGGCAATCTTGATACATCATGGAGGAATGTGCGTTAACATTTCAAACTCCCACCACAATATCGGTTGTGGGTGGTTCTTCAAGTGGAAAAACATTTTGGGTTGCACGACTCTTAAAACAAGCTGGTAGCATGTTCGATCCACCACCCAACCTGATTGTGTATTGCTATGCTGTGTGGCAGGATGTCTACAGCGAACTTGAGAGGGTGATTCCCAACATTCGATTTAAAGATGCACTACCTACGGAAGAGGAGTTAAAATCATATTCCTTAGAATCTGATAAACGGTGTGTACTGGTAGTAGATGACTTCATGCAGGACATTTGTAAGAACCCTCTGTTTTTACATCTTTATACCACACTATCTCATCATCTGGGGATCACAGTCATTAACATACAACAGTCAGCCTTTCCTAAAGGCGAATATAACAGAACCATGTCTTTAAACACCCATTACTTCGTTCTGTTATCTAACCCACGTTCAGCGCATGAATATAAAATTTTGGCATCGCAAATATTTCCAGGACAGAGCAAATATTTTACGGAATCCTTCCAAGATGCAGTGGGGAGAAATAAATATGGGTATCTTGTTTTGGATGCTTCACCCTATGCTGATGAAGCCTATGGACGTTTACGCACAAACATATTTCCTGATGAAGTATGTACAGTCTACTTACCGCAGACATAGAATTATGCCCAAGATGATATATATCCGTCTCTCTATGAGTGTTTTCATCATTTCACTTTCATCACTTGAACTGAACAGAACCATGGATGAGTGTGGGCGCTTCAATGATGTGTTCCCAGATTGTGTTGAAATAGAGACACACACTGAGAGCTATGGACAAAAGTTTAGTGACAGACTGAAGTCATACAGCAAATGGCCTGTTCAAATGGAGCAGTCACCAAAAGCCATGGCTAAAGCAGGATTTATTTACACAGGACAATATGATAAAGTCTACTGCTTCACATGCAAGCTTCGCCTACATCAATGGTTACATGATGATGATCCCAAGACCGAACACTTCAGACTGTTTCCTCACTGTAGCTATATGCTCATGGTGTCTGAACCCAAGAAAGGTTAGAAAGTAATAAAATCCTGTTGACTATCCTATACTTGTACATTAGAAAGTGGCACATCGAACATTAAACATCGCATCATGAGTAAACTACTAGAAAAACATTTGAATTTTCTTCTGATGTTGGAGCAAGCTGGTGTTGGACAAAGAAAGGCTTTGTTAATACATGCGTCACATGGACAGCTTATGTCGGTGATTACTCTTATATTTAACATTCTGAGAGGAATCATACTTCTACCAGACAGTGATAAAATAGGACTGACACGCTACAAGAAATGCATTCGATCTCTAGCCAGCAAGACAGTTAGCAACCACGAGAAACGTGAGCTGATTCTGATGCATCATTCGGTTCTTCCCATTTGCATAAGATCTTATCAAGCATACCTCTCATCGATTCACTATGAGCAAGCCTATGGTTCTTCTGACAAGAGAGACCTACCAGAGGTTGATGAACAATCAAGAAGAACAGATTCCTCCTCAGACAGTGAATCAGACACCGATTCAGGATCATCTGACAACGAAACAAGATCTGAAGATTATGAATCATAATAATGGATCTAGTAACAGCGGTGATGAAGAAGCACATGCATCTGTTGTGAAGGATAACATAGACATCATGCTTCGTGTACCTGAACAGATCATTAGAGGTATTTCGTCTACAAAAACCATCGGCAAGTTAATGACTTTGTGGATATTTGTGAAAGAAAACATTCTAAACAGACAAATAGGTCTGGCAGAAGATTTACAACTTGCGTTACCTAATGGTGAGGTGTTGCATGGTTCGAACATAGTAGACTTGATCCTTTTGTTATCATGAAAGCAGGTGTTAAAAGTCGCCGTCCAGTAGGATATAGAGACTTTTATAAACTTTTAAGACATTCGCATGTTCCTAAACATCTCATGAAAAGCAGACAAAAGAAAGACAAAAAGAAGAAAACTGTAAATACTTTATATTTAAAACGCAAAGCATCTGATGGTGCGCCTGGTACAGCAAAAGTAAGGGCACTCGAGCCTTTTTAATGTACATCCATCATTCTTTACATATTATGTACAAGGAAATAAAAATGGATTACTGCATGACTAGTTTGTCTTGTTTATGGCAAACTCATGTTGAGTTTGGTTAGCATCTCCAGTCTCTCTTTTCCTATGTTGGAAAGCAAACCAGAATTCAAATAATCAATGTTTTCATAACAGACGGTATGTCTGTCATGGAAGTCTAGACTGAGTTGTGTACGTGGTTGTCGTGCTCTTTCTAAAATGTTCTGATGAGGTATTCCACTCAGAGCGTCCTCAAAATAGAGGTCCACCTTTTCAGCACTATCCATCATCACACACTGGGGGTGAATGTGTGAGGGGTGATCAACTTCACATCCATAACAATTGTCTTGACACAGTTTTGTGACAACTGTGGTTGAACATGACCAGGTACTGCACATTTTGTGCTAAATCATGATGTGTTATAAATACAGCTTTCACCAGAGAACAGTTACGAAGTCTGCTCACTTCTGTCATTGCAGTTCATTCGACTTAGCAAGCTGAAATCATGTCTGATTCAGTTAATGTTCAGTTTGCAGACAAACATTTTTTTTTTGTCTATCAATTTGTTTAATGGAACCATGTATATTCACCTTACGAACTGGAATGCTAGACACCAGAGAAAGAGCATATCTATGACATTAGATGTCTTCAATCAACTTTTGACTGATGCACCTCAGTACGTGCAACAGGCTGAAAATATTGCGCTAACGATGGATGAACTACCAGACATCCCTCCCATTCCCGGAAATTGATACACCAGACGAGATTCAACATGCATCAACACCGCTACTGATGCCACCTCCTCCCACACTGACAACAACACCAGATATGAGAATGACCAGCATCCCCACTACACTTATGAAACAAACTGGGAGAGTTACTCCAATGTTTGGGAAAGCAACCACCATCAGAAGCATGCCATATGTTCGTGGTAAGTAATGCATCAGTTTGATAAGGTACAAATACTAAAATGCTGAAAATTATTCTTTACCAGCAAGCTGTCAAGGAAGTGAGGTAAAATATTGTATGCGTAAGCCATCAAATCAATGAAGTGATACATAACTGTACCGCAAGCTACCAACAGAGTGAAGTGTCCTAAAATATTTTATAGCGTAAGCTAACAACAGAGTGAAGTGACGTAAAATATTTTGTATCGGAAGCTAACAACTGAAGGAAGTGTCTTAAATTATTTGTATCGTACGCTATCAACTCAATGACGTGTTGTAACTGTACCTCAAACTATTCTGTGCTTGGATGGTTCTTACAGTCTGTTAACGCAATTTTCATTGATGTTGTAAAAAATCACTTAACTTAAAGGTGCTATTTAAGTGTCTATTTCTGTCTCCTTGATTTATCTTGATATCATCGTTTTCCATCTAGTGTCTACACGTTTACTCTCATTGGAGGAAAAATAAACTACTTATTGCTGTAGAGACGTTATCCCTCACTTTCCATTAAGTGATCTAATGTTCATTTATATATTTTGTTTACAGGTAACAACAGCGCACAAAAGTAAATCAGAAGTGGCAGACCCAACTTGTGAAGATTTCTAAAGATAATACGCTCAAACCGAATGACTAAATACAAATAACATTCGCATTGTTGTTGTTATCCTTTCACCATGCTTCAAGAACACTAGAATTACGGTTTGCTTAGACAGAGTCGCAGTGTTTGTGTATTTTACGGTGTGGTAGTTAACGTGTCTTGTAAGTGTGTCGTAGTGAGAGTTCGAATCTGATCGGAACCATTAAGAAGATATCCCCATTTAGATTATAAGGCTCTTTGACTAAGTTCTGCACAACCGGAGGGGAGGTGTACACGGAGGATATGCGTAAATGCCATGTTCCTTGGCTGAGAGCAACAGCGCGCGTAGTCACAGGATTATTCAACCCACTCAGGATGACCCACTGCAGCCTACAAACACACGATCTTTCACGACGGTGAGACCGTATACAGCACAGTGAACACATAGGCTTGCTGGCGAAAGTGACCTAGTTCTATGTTTATCTGTATAACATCACAGTGACGCTGGTTGGGGGGTAAAAACTAGGTTATACAATTAATGTTAATGTATTACTTCAAGAGTATGCTTGCAAAATATATCAGTCAGTTAGACACAATTGCAAGCGACTAACTGCAAGTGAATTTAATAGTGAAAACGAACATAAAATATTGTTAAACCATGTCAATCCCATAACCGAATAGCGGCTCGTACCCTCTAGAATGATTTTATATTGATGCATAACTTTACTTAAAACATGACGAAAACTTTATAAATGACGAATATTTTCACAGAACATACATCGAGAGGGATACGCGTATGTTTGAAAGAGACGTGCGATAACAAATGTTTAACACAGTGATTGTAAAATACTATACTGCAGAAAATAGTAACGGATAAGGTTATACGTGGTGTTACCTTTCAGCAGAGCTCAAAACAAAAAAAATAAAAAAACCAAAAAAATTGAACATACTTAAGCAAGACTGTTCATTGACAATCAACTTTCGCGATGGTGGTAGGTGAATTAGGTCTTCACAGCTAGTCTCGCCTCCTCTGATGAGCTTCAAAATAATTTCACATATGCGAGTGTCATCATCGAAACACTCGCTTGCTTCATGATACATGCAATAAGTGAAGTTAATTATTCACAAGTGTATCAAAATGAAATAGCATCGTTATTAACTTAAAGTACATTTTGATATCGCCATCAACAGTAAGGTAAATTTGATACTTACTTGCAACGAGGGGAACAATGACACATCAAGTACGATACGTCCTTCTCGTCCATGGAGGACAATCGTTTTAACAGTTGGGTAAGGGTCTCCGTGGATGTGCGTCAGGGTGCTTTTCCCAATAGGACCCAGTCCAAGTGGTGCGCTTTAAGATGTAAACGAATTTTGCAAAGCCTTAAATATGTTAAAAGCTATTGATGATGTGGCACGTATGCATACTTAACCGAACTGTAGTGGTACTAACAAATTCTTTTCATCACCAATTCTACTGAAACGTAACAGGGAGGAGACTTGTGCATCTCAGTTCTATAGACAGTAATACAAAACGAACCATCTTGACCTACAGATCAAAGACTTGACACCACTTTGACACAATAGGATAATGAGAAAACCGGTGCATGAACGTGATACAGCGTTTCTCTTGCTGATGACACAAGGTGAATTTCAGTGCACGAAATTACTACCACGAGATGGAGTCGTGATGGACTAGAGCGTGCATGTGTCTTGAAACAAAATCGCTAGATGTTTGAGTTTATTCTGGAAACTCGCCCAGCCAAGAACAAACCGAAAAAACTTTAACACCTTGCGGGTTTCAATTAGTCTCTCATTTCAATTCACCACCACCAGTGTAGATGTTACCCCCCCCCTCGAGTGATAGGACAATAACGGCTATGGGTGCCTAATAGAAGTCTAACAATGACAAAGGTTAACCTTGGGTTTTAGATATATAACGTGATAATTCTGTGTGTCAGTCCTCTCATTGTATGATTTGTTGATCTTGGTAAGAGGATTGAACTCAGATAATTATTCAGATGAAGACAAAGTTAGTCAAGTTTTGTTAGTCATCACATAACACGCCAACGCCACCTAGACACCGCCTATGCACCCACTTTCAACATTTACCCCTGAGAATCATCCAGTCACGCTGTCCTTTCATAGCTGTTCTATATATAGAGTACACCATGCATTGAGTATCATCCAGTCACGCCTCCCTTTCTTAACTGTTCCAATTGTTGTGACACTAAGCAAACCGTAATTCAAATATAGCGGGAAACATCCATTCATGATAAATAATTTTCTCATTAAAATCAATCATTAACTCCTTAATGAAGAAGACATTGTGTATCACTACGCTTAATGAAGCTGGGTGTGGGATTACTAGCTCATTACTGTATTGTAAGACTATTTTAGGATGAAATTTGGGATGAGGGATGTCACCCTTCTTAACTGTTCTGTATGAAGCTGGTGTGGGATTACTAGCTCATTACTGTATGGTGAGACTATTTTAGGATGAAATGTGGGATGAGGGATGTCACCATTCTTAACTGTTCTATATGAAGCTAGTGTGGGAATACTAGCTCATTACTGTATGGTGAGACTATTTAAGGAAGAAATGAGGGATGTGGGATTTCTGGTTATTGGTTCCATTGTTTTTGCTAATTGGAGGATGAAATGTGGGTTTTTTCGGGGGTGGGATGTGGGATGAGGGATTTCTGGTCATTGGTTCCATTGTTTTTGCTAATTGGAGCATGAAATGAGTGATTTTTCTGGGGTGGGATGAGGGATGAGGGATCGTCTGTGCTGTAGAATGAGGGATGAGGGTTCGTCTGTGCTGTAGAATGAAATTTATATCTACTATAATGTTATAGATAAACAACTTCTTCATACACTGGATAATATAAGTTGTGGCATTACAATGAGGGTTCCGCGATGTGGATAAAGCCTAACGAGGGACGCATAAAAACCCCGTGTACCCTGCATCGTAAAGTTGTAACGAAGTTATCTTATTGAATATTCAAACTACGTGACTACCGTAGGCTCATGGGTTTCGCTTGGAGCAGTGTAAATTATTTATTCACCCTCGAAAGATTTATTCACCTGGTGGGCGTTGTACACAGTAATTTGTCCAGGGTCACGTGGGCCAATCAGAGGTTGAACAGCCAGTGAATATTAAGTGAATAAAGAAGTTTAATATTCATGACATTAATCCACTTTATTATTGCAACAATTTCAATATTACAACTGAAACAGTTTTCAATTATTAATACTTTACTTTTCTTTGCTTTCAGGGTAACCACGTGACACAACAAGAGATGGTGGACATCACTTGGAGAAATCCCCCTGCTACATGTGATCTCTGCAAGAAGCTGCCTCTATAAGCAGTGATACGTCAAAGAATAAACACAGCTACTCATTAAAAACGGAAAGATTGATTCACTTCATCACTCACATCTGAAAATAAAACTGTTTGAAAAGTTCCATTTGTTCAATGTTATATGTTTTTTAAATGAAAATGATTGACATCGCGTCATCAAAAAGTACGGAGTATAGATTCAAGTCTAAGTTGTGTGCAATCGCCATCTTCACCATACGAGTAATTGTCTACTGACAGTCCTTGCACACTATCCTCTGAGTCCTTACACACATTCCGAGTACACAGACTACAAATCTGCTTGCTCTTCCTGTCCTTCTTCGAACTGCAGATGTCTGTGATCGTCTCTTCATTTGTGGGAGCATTGGTGTTTCTGAGACTGTCTGGAGGAACAATAGTCTCCGGCTTTTTGCAGACATCTTCCATGCGGGAAACTTCACTGTCCATGCAATGTAAGCTGCAAGGCGGCAACGTCTATCATGTTCAGGAAGAACACAACAGGCCACCCCCTTGTCCTCCGCTTGCAAGTGTATCTGTGCAACATCTCATCCATGGTGTCTACGCCTCCTTTGGTTTTGTTGTAGTATGTGACGATTTCTGTTTTTTTTTCTTCTGTGAGCCCTCAGTGTCATCAGTCTGGTGCATGGTACTCAACAAAGTCACACTCTTTGACTTGCTGCATCTGTACGACACAATGGCGAGCTTGCCAAGAAATCCGAAAAGGGATTCATAGAGCGAAATGGATTTCTTGGCAGTAAACTCAGGAGGGAGGAAGCACTTGTTTTGTCTGACTGTTCCGACAAGAGTCAGGCCATTTGACAGCAGCTCCACTCCAAGATCACGATCTGTGAAAAAGTTGTCTGCTGTTATGTTCCTGTTCGATCCAAAGAATGGTCTGCACAGATCCAGAGTGACCTGGCGGCCTAGACCAACCTGGACAGTATGGGTACCATACTGCTCGCTCCACATCATCCTACTGCTCATCATGTTTTGTTTCAGGAATCCACTTGTAATAAGAATCCCAATTAGAGCCCACATTTCCTCTTCATTTGTGTCCTTCCATTGTTTCTGGCTACCTTTCTGAGATATGAACTTCCTTCCATAAGTAATTGTGAAAGTCACAATCAGCTTGATGATGTCCTGCTTAAAATAAAGCTGAAACATTTCTACCTCAGTTTGAATGTGATAAGCATGTTGAACCTTTTGCTGTTGTGTCCTGAGAATATTTCTGTCTGGTATTTTGGATGTACTCGGTGGGGTATTTGACCAAACAGATCCATCTTTTGCTCTATAGAACCAGCCTTCATCCAAATTATCAGTTCCGTCAGATTCAGAGTCATCGTCTGATAATTGGACATCCTGGCCTTCAGTAACGAGACTGCCGCTGTCTGGATCAGATTCAGATTCAGATTCTGATTCTTCATGTGGAATAAAATCACTGTCTGATTCACTTTCCTCACTGAAGGACATGTTTTCAGAATCAGAATCGTTAACATTCCCAATGAAAGCTTCACATGGATTTGCCTATTTTATGGTGTGTGTGTGTGTGTGTGTGTGTGTGTGTGTGTGTGTGTGTGTGTGTGTGTGTGTGTGTGTGTGTGTGTGTGTGTGTGTGTGTGTGTGTGTGTGTGTGTGTGTGTGTGTGTGTGTGTGTGTGTGTGTGTGTGTGTGTGTGTGTGTGTGTGTGTGTGTGTGTGTGTGTGTTAAACTATTAGATTTTGTCCATCGCCAAGGCCTACTATCGAGGGCGATGATCCTTCTCGGATTGCACTATCAAACTCTCCTTGCAGTATCTTCCAATCCTGCATACAACTCTGTTTTTAATCCTCTCTACGAAGATCTTTGTTACAAAATCTTCACGTATTCCGCCTCTTGGAACAAGCATTATACAATTCCACCTGCTGCTGGCATTGAGCTGCAAAATATAAAAAATAAATTTATTTACAAAGTAAGTGACCCCTCTAGACTAACAACTAGTTTCTGAAATGAACAAATTTTACTGAAAAAAGTTCCTGAAGCTGAGGAAATCTAGACTTGCCATATTTTCTAGACTTGCGTGGGCTTTCTAGGATATATTTGCTTCAGGGTCTGTATGACAGACTAGTGACCCCCCTGCATGTCATGTACAAAGTCAATTACCCCCCCCCCCTTCCATATTTTTAAAGCATAATTTTTAAATATTTTTTATGTACAAAATTGCTGACCCCCTAGAAACATGTGTACAAAATTGATGACCCCCTACCTCCCCAGAACAAAATGGGTGACCCCCTTAAAATCATCATCTCTCTCTCTCTCTCTCTCTCTCTCTCTCTCTCTCTCTCTCTCTCTCTCTCTCTCTCTCTCTCTCTCTCTCTCTCTCTCTCTCTCTCTCTCACTCACACACACACACTCTCACTCTCTCTCTCACACACACACACACACACACACACACACACACCTAGCCATAAATTATGAACGGTCCCTAAGGGAAGTGATCCTATTTGGCATATGTTCCTTGGCAATTATTTCAAGTGTATATATCTCAAGTATCTATCTCTAAAAAAACAATCATCCTACTTGTTTCTCCAGATTAGCATGATTTACTCCGACTCCATCGTCATTTGACATCGCCATGTTTGTTTGTCCTTACGCGTATTCTGATTGGTTTGAGTCCCTAGTATGGTGATCTACCTTCAGTTATTGGCAATCTATAGCCTGATTTTATATTGTATTGTCAGGTAGAGATAAAATGTTTTAGATTTAATTAAATTTATGTCTGTGATTTCTTACTGTCCTTTGTTTACAGGTTTTAAACTTTTAATCGTAGTATATTTGTTATATTTCTTAACAATGGCTAAAATGCAGCATAAACGCCAGCAGCTGAAGGGATGGTGCAAATCCATGCAGGTAGCAAAAGTACTGTAAGTCCTAATGGACCCTAGTATGGTGATCTCCCTTCAGTTGTTAGTGATGTATAGCCCGCTTTTATTTTGTACTCAGTCTGTCTATACTGATTTAATTTTATGATAGCGTTT